TTCGAGGTAATGCAGAGGCGTTGTCGACAGTGACAGGGATTGTGGATGGTTAGTTAGTTATACTCGCTTCTAACTTAATTTTGTTCAAACCAATGACTTGAAATTCACCAAAAGATCACGATGATCCCGCACAAATGTTATGGTTAGTTGACGAACTCGTAGTGTTTCACTTGTTGACATATTAATCAGGTCAAGTTTATCTATCTTCATGAAAGATGCATCCGACGTTGTTTAGGGCTATAAAGAACTGGCTATTCTCTTTTGTAGTCACGTACAATCTAAATCATGTATTTATTTGTAGGTTAACGTTCCTTGTCCCACTTTTCTCAGTAAAAGGACTTTGCAATACCACAGTCTTACGTTTTCTAGGGACTGGAAGCTTTGGAGCTGCTCTGGGTCAGGTTTTGATACCATCGATTCAAGCAGTATTTGGATGGGAGTTCGTGTTCTACGGATTCATAGTCATGGTCAGAACTCATCACCTCGCTATATGTTGTCAATTTACAAAATCTGTTGTAGATCATATGTACCACAGCGTGTCTAACTCCGCTACTTTATCGTGAGTTGCAATGGCGGCGAAGAGGCTCATATGTTAGTTTAACTTCTGATTCGGATGCAGAAGAAGAAGCTGAAATTGCTGAAGAGGAAATAGCTAGAAGGCGAATATTCAGTGGAGAAGTTCCATTTTAGTTCAGTTTGATGTGGTTTTTTGTGATACGAGGTGTTTATAAGGGTGCTAAGCCTGGTTTTCTGACTGTATATGTTCAGTTTTGACTGAATTGAGAATGCTAGTAAACAGCTGATGATTTCACAGGAGCATGTCCTTCCGCATACCAGCGGTTTTAGCAATGATTTTTTTGAGGTGCTGTAAGCAGTTGACTAAGGTCTGAGCGAGTATTGTTTATCAGGAGTGGTGATATGCGATGTAATTTTTTTGGCTTAGCTCAAGTAAGCTGATTATCTGTGATGTTTGGTTTTCGCATAATCGCAATATATTGACAAGCTTTTGATAATGCTATTTTTTGCCTTTTCGCATATGGTTGCTTTCACTATGATATGACCTGGATCGCTATGTCAAGTTTACACAACTGTTTCTATGAAAGCTTTTGCTTTCAATCATTGTTCTTCCAGTTGCGATTGTGCGATCGCGTGGAATCATAATGAGCGGATAGGAATAGGTCAAATGGATCCCGTAAAAAAGAATGTACATCCAATAAGGGATCAAGAGATCACTTGATCACAATGTTGTAGATTTTACTTTAAAGAAACTGTATCTTACGAAGATAAGATATCATTTTACAAAGTGTGACAAAACCTCCCTTAAAATGCAGTTGAGCTCAGTTATAACTTATAAAGAACTGTTTCAAATCTTTCTATAAAAAGTTTGGAATACTTGTGATACATCAAAATGGCAGGATATTTTCGATAAATACGAACTTCCTTTGTGTATTTCTAAGACAATAACTAACTGATGTTTTCACAAGCCTAAAAATTGGTGAAATAGAAAGAGTGCGCAAGTCGTTACATCTACGACAAACAGTGAAAATTCTAGACGAAAGAAGAAAAATGCTTTTTTTTTTTCTCTGGTGAGTGATATCGCAGAACGGTTTGCTATAGATTCTGAAGATTGAAGGATGACAGTATTTCACAATTATAGTGCGGTCTATCTATCTAGCGGAACAATTTGTGACGGAAAATTCACAACTGCAGGTAATGGGTGATTCTCTTTTTGGATGTTCAAGAGGTTTAGTTCAAATTAAGAACTAACTACGTC